CCCCAAAACCCCAAAACCCCAAAACCCCAAAACCCCGAAATATTATAATTTTATTGAAAAAGTAAGGCATTCAACACTCTAAATGACTGAAACCTGATATCTTTAGATAACAAGAATGTCGGTTGCTTCTAGAGCATTGGAGAGACTTAAAAGAATCAAGAGTCAAATTTCACCATTTAGTATGACAAAGACTAAACTAGCTGTATGTGTCATGCTAATACTCTAGATTGGGGCAGGAACTGCATATGCAGCATATCAGTAAGCCATAGCTCATAAATTTCAAAAGATCTTATTGGATCTAATCTTGTTCAGATATCTAAAGAATAATGGATATGGCTTCAAAAAGGTATGGAGTCTCTTTCTTGTGATCTCATATCCATAGGATGTCAAAAATGAGCACGTATACATCACTGGAGCAGGTTCAGGTCTTGGGAAAATAGTATCAAAGAAATTAGCCAAGCTAGGAGCCAACATTACTGTTACAGATATTGATCTTACAGCCGCAGAACAAACTGGTACTTTCTTCAGCAAAGATTTGAGGTCTTATCATTGATAATATAGTCCAAGAGATCGAGCTTGAAGGAGGGAACGCAATTGCTATTAAAGTTGATGTCTCAAATCCTGAAAATATCAAAGAGAGTGCTGAAATCGCAACAAAAAGATTTGGAAACGTCACTATTCTGATCAATAATGCAGGGATTGTATCTGGAAAGAAAATCTTAGATATCAGCAATGAATTGGTTAAGAAGACATTTGAGGTTAATTCTCTTGCTCTAATTTACACTACAAAGCAATTCTTACCTCAGATGCTTGAAATGGATAAAGGCCACATTGTTACAATTGCTTCAGCTGCTGGATACATTGGCTCACCAGGGCTCGTTGATTATTCCGCTTCAAAATTTGCTGCAATCGGTATTGATGAGAGCTTGCGTACAGAGTTAGCAAATATCGGTTCGAAAGTGACGACTACTTGAGTTTGTCCTTACTTTATCAATACAGGGATGTTTGATGGTGTCCAAACAAGATTCCCAAGTATTCTTCCTATTCTAAAGCCAGAGTGGGCGAGCCAAAGAATTGTTGATGCAATCCTAAAAGAAGAAAGTATGGCTATATTCCCTTGGTTTATCGGTAATGCTCATCTTTTCAAAGCCTTACTACCACCAAAGATGTTTGACATGGTTTCTGAATTCTTCGGCATCAACGATATAATGAAGAACTTCAAGGGTAGACACTAATACTCAGCCTCAGGAAAGATATGTAGATCTCATAAGTCTCCTTCAATTTGGTGTTTTCTCTCTGGGGTTTTGGGGTTTTGGGGTTTTGGGGTTTTGGGG